TGTAGGGTTAGTTGTGTATTTGAGACCTTTCTTGTTTCTTGAGAAAGGCTTGTATTGCTATATACTTTCCTCTCAGGACTGCCTTTGCTGCATCCCAAAGATTTTGAACAGTTGTGTTTTCATTTTCATTGGTTTCCATGATTTTTTTTTAACTCTTCTTTAATTTCCTGGTTGACCCATTCATTCTTTAGTAGGATGCTCTTTAGCCTCCATGTATTTGAGTTCTTTCTGACTTTCCTGTTGTGATTGAGTTCTAGTTTCAAAGCACTGTGGTCTGAAAATATGCGGGGAATAATCCCAATCTTTTGGTACCCGTTGAGACCTGATTTGTGACCTAGGATGTGATCTATTCTGGAGAATGTTCCATGGGCACTAGAGAAGAATGTGTATTCCGTTGTTTTGGGATGGAATGTTCTGAATATGTCTGTCAAGTCCCTTTGGTCCAGTATGTCATATAAAGTCTTTATTTCCTTGTTGATCCTTTGCTTAGGTGATCTGTCCATTTCAGTTAGGGGGATGTTAAAGTCCCCCACTATTATTGTATTGTTGTCAATGTGTTTCTTTGCTTTTGTTATTAATTGCCTTATATAATTGGCTGCTCCCATGTTAGGGGCATAGATATTTACAATTGTTAGATCTTCTTGTTGGATAGACCCTTTAAGTAGGATATAGTGTACTTCCTCATCTCTTATTATAGTCTTTGGTCTAAAATCTAATTTGTCTGATATAAGGATTGCCACCCCAGCTTTCTTTTGGTGTCCATTAGCATGGGAAATGGTTTTCCACCCCCTCACTTTCAATATGGGGGTGTCTTTGGGTCTAAAATGAGTCTCTTGCAGACAGCATATCGATGGGTCTTGTTTTTTAATCCAATCTGGTAGCCTGTGTCTTTTGATTGGGGCATTTATCCCATTTACGTTCAGGGTAACTATTGAAAGATAGGAATTTAGTGCCATTGTATTGCCTGTAAGGTGACTGTTACTGTATATTGTCTGTGTTCCTTTCTGATCTATGCTGCTTTTAGGCTCTCTCTTTGCTTAGAGGACCCCTTTCAATATTTCTTGTAGGGCTGCTTTCGTGTTTGCAAATTCCTTTAGTTTTTGTTTGTCCTGGAAGATTTTTATCTCTCCTTCTATTTTCAATGACAGCCTAGCTGGATATAGTATTCTTGGCTGCATATTTTTCTCGTTTAGTGCTCTGAAGATATCATGCCAGTCCTTTCTGGCCTGCCAGGTCTCTGTGGATAGGTCTGTTGCCAATCTAATGTTTCTACCATTGTAGGTTACATATCTCTTCTCCCAAGCTGCTTTCAAGATTTTCTCTTTGTCTCTGAGACTCGTAAGTTTTACTATAAGATGTCAGGGTGTTGACCTATTTTTATTGATTTTGAGAGGGATTCTCTGTGCCTCCTGGATTTTGATGCCTGTTTCCTTCCCCACATTAGGGAAGTTCTCTGCTATAATTTGCTCCAATATACCTTCTGCCCCTCTCTCTCTTTCTTCTTCTTCTGGGATCCCAATTATCCTAATGTTGTTTCGTCTTATCGTATTGCTTATCTCTCGAATTCTGCCCTCGTGATCCAGTAGTTGTTTCTCTCTCTTTTTCTCAGCTTCTTTATTTTCCATCATTTGGTCTTCTATATCGCTGATTCTCTCTTCTGCTTCATCTATCCTAGCAGTTAGTGCCCCCATTTTTGATTGCACCTCATTAATAGCCTTTTTGATTTTGACTTGGTTAGATTTTAGTTCTTTTATTTCTCCAGAAAGGGTTTCTCTAATAACTTCCACGCTTTTTTCAAGCGCAGCTAGTATCTTTAAAATCATGATTCTGAACTCTAGGTCTGACATCGCACTAATGTCCGTATTGAGTTAGGTCCGTGGCAGACGGTACTACCTCTTGTTCTTTTTGTTGAGGTGATTTTTTTCATTTTGTCATTTTGTCCAGAGGAGAATAGTTGAATGAGAACAAAATGCTAACAGGTTAACAACGTCCCCAGAAAATATACTCTAAACAAATCAGAAAAGACCTGAAACCAGGGGAAAAGAAATGGAAAGAAAGAAAAAAGAAAGAGAAAGAAAAGAGAAAAAGATAAAAACAAAAACAGAACAAAACAAATAAAATAGGATATGATCAAATATGATCATGCTGCTGCATAGATCAGTGCCACACACTAGATTTTGGGTGTATTTTGGTCTGTTAGAAGAAAGTGCCTCCTAAAATTTTAAAGAAAGAAAGACTTATATGTGTACAAAATGAGGGTTGATACAATGAAGGGATGGAATATGAGTGTAAAGATGAAAACTATAAAAAATTTTATAAAAGGAATTGATAAGAAGGTGTTTGAAAAAAGAAAGAAGAGGATTAAAAAAATTAAAGAAAGAAAAAAAGGGGAGAGAATGTAATCAGGCAGGAGATTAGAACAAAGCCATACACTAGAGATTTAGGGTATATTTTGATCTGTTAGAAGAAACTGTATCTCAGAATTTTAAAGAGAGAACAACATATATATATATATGTATATATATATATATATATATATATATATATATATATATATATGCCAAAAATACGGGTAACTACTATGAAGGGATAGAATATGACTCTAAAAATAAAAAATAAAAATTTTTTTTTAAAAAAGGGATTGATAAGATGTTGTTTGAAAAAGGGAAAAAGAAAAATTTAAAAAAATACAGGTAAAAGAAATTAACTTTGAAAGACTAATGAATCATGGTAAAAAAGCCATGAATTCTATATGCAGTATACCCCTAACACTGGAGTTCTCCCGTTCTCATTGATCGGTAAACTTGGTCTTGGCTGGCTGTTCTTGCTGATCTTGTGGGGGAGGGGCCTGTTGCCGTGGTTCCCAAATGTCTTTGCCGGAGGCGGAACTGCTCTGCCCTTGTCAGTCCAGGCTAAGTCATCTGCTCGGGTTTGCTCTAGGGAGCTTTTGTTCCCTGCAAGCTCTCGGTACAGCTTTGGAGGATGAGAGTGAAAATGGCGGTCTCACAATCTCTGCCCGGAGGAGCTGAGAACTTGGGGCCCCGCTCCTCAGTGCACCCCCAGAGAAAAGCAGTCAGTCACTCCCGTGTCCCCGGTCTCCGGCCGCACTCCGTGCTCACCCGGCCTGTGACTGAGCGTTTCTATCTCTGGCATCCGACCCCGTGTGGAGTCTCCAAACCCAGCTGATCCCTGCGGTGCGCTCCTGCGCCGCTCCTCCCGGGGGAGGAAGGGGAGTCTCCCCGGCTCTGCCGCTAGTTGGGTCCCTGCTGGAGGAGCAGTGGCCCGACTGGGCCGCAGATCACAGTTTATGGCAACCCGGAGCTGAGAGCCCGCACCTCGGCTCCGTCTCTGCAGCCGGCTTCCCCGCTCTGATACCTGGGAGCTCTGCCGCACTCAGGCATCCCCGGTCTTTCTGTGACCCCGAGGGTCCTGAGACCACACTGTCCCATGAGGGTTCCACCTCCCGCTTTGCCACTGGAGCGACGTCCCTCAGCGGAGCCGACTTCTAAAAGTTCCAATTTTGTGCTCCGCGGCTCTATCACTCGCCAGAAGCAGCCGACGGAGGCCCCCTCCCCCGCCGTCTATCCTCCCAAATATCGCCTCCAATTCACTTCTCCACACGTCCTACCTTCCAGAAAGTGGTCGCTTTTCTGTTCAGAGTTGTTGCTATTCTTTTTTTCAATCTCCTGTTGAGTTCGTAGGTGTTCAGAATGGTTTGATCCCTATTCAGCTGAATTCCTGAGACCAGACGAAATCCAGGTCTCCTACTCCTCCGCCATCTTGTTCCGCCCAGTATATTTATTTTCTTTAATGAAGCCTGAAGTGGAAGTTCTGCTCCTCAGTGTAATGTAAGATGTTTTTCCTACTTAACTTTCATTCTAAGTTCAAAGCAGACAAGTAAAAGCCTGAAGTGAAGGTTCACATTCAGTTGTTACAGCTAGTGATTGACTTGGCCAGTGGTTATCTACTGTGCTTATTCTTATTATCAGAGGCTGATATAACACCCTAGTGAAGCCATTAGTCAATCATTTTTATTACCTTATGGACAGATCTGCCCATTTTAGTGCAACCAATGTGTTTGATTCATGTAGGTAAAATACCAAAACTCAGATTTTGCCACCAGTTTACACATGCCAGATTTCACTCATTTCTAAAATTATAACCAATATTTTGAAATTCAGCACTTCAATATACTTAACCACTGTTCTGGCTCGAAGTATTATTTATGATATATAGCCCTTGAAGCCTTAGTAGTTTGAATGAGTTTACTTAACCAGTCCTCAAACTTTAATGAGCATCCAAATTCCTGTGGTGATGGTTAACAGTGTGGGTCCCTGCGCACACACCCAGAGATTCTGATTCAGTAGTGCTGGGGATTGCCTCCATTTTAATGAGATCCCTGGAAGTTTCAGGAGCAAGTGGCCCAGGGACCACACCTTGAGAAACACTGAGTTAGCACATTTTCACTCAAGTTCAGGAGAATTCTAGTTTAGAAGCTGTAGTTGGTCATAGGTAGTCATGTGCAAGGTAGAATTGGTCATTATGTAGCTGAGGGGCAGGGTTGCAAGAGCACCTGGCTCTGGGGATGCCAACCAGACCAGGATCGGCCACTTTTCTGAGGACAAAATCTAAAGACAGAGACATGAGTGGTGGTGAAACAAAAAAGGGATTTATTTCAGTGAGGCCAACACCAGGAAGACAGCAGACTAACATCTCAAAGCCTGTCTCCAAAGTGCCAGAAATACTTCCAGGTTTATATGAGGAAAATATGGGACAAAGTTTGGTGGATAGGCGCAGGTGGGCAGTGAAGGTCAAGTTGATCATTGTTGTGGGCTCAGTCACACAGGGTCTTGCCGGTTCAGTGCAGTCCTTATTGTGTGAGGGGGTAGTTTCAGGTCCCATTAGGAGATGCTTTGCCTGAAGAGACTTTTGCCTGAGTTAAGAGATGGGCTGGAAAGAAGATTATTTAATCAATTAGAAAGTTTGTGGTCAAGAGTAGAAGCGGCGGTGGCGGCGGCCCAAAGCGTAGGGAAGGAGGAAGGCAGGGAGCTTAGGAGCGGGAGCTGGAGTCCCGGCGGTGGAGATCCCTGTGCGGTGCGGAGGGGGCCACGGCCCCGGCTCTGACCCGCGCCTGGGGGGTGGGCCATGGTGGAGATCAGCGACCTGGACCGGCAGATCGAGCAACTGCGGCGCTGCGCGCTCATCAAAGAGAGTGAAGTCAAGGCCCTGTGCGCTAAGGCCAGAGAGATCTTGGTAGAGGATAGCAACGTACAGAGGGTGGACTCGCCAGTCACAGTGTGCGGCAACATCCATGGGCAATTCTATGACCTCAAGGAGCTGTTCAGAGTGGGTGGCGTCGTCCCTGAGACCAACTACCTCTTCATGGGGGATTTTGTGGATTGCGGTTTCTACAGCGTCGAAACGTTCCTCTTGCTGCTGGCACTTAAGGTTCGCTATCCTGACCGCATCACCCTGATCCGGGGCAACCATGAGAGCCGCCAGATCACCCAGGTCTATGGCTTCTACGACAAGTGTCTGCGCAAATACGGCTCGGTGACCGTGTGGCGCTACTGCACTGAGATCTTTGACTACCTCAGCCTGTCGGCCATCATAGATAGCAAGACCTTCTGCGTGCACGGGGGCCTCTCCCCCTCTATCCAGACCCTGGACCAGATCCGAATGATTGACTGAAAGCAAGCGGTGCCCCACGATGGGCCCATGTGTGACCTGCTCTGGTCTGACCCCGAAGACACAACAGGCTGGGGTGTGAGCCCCCGCGGGGCTGGCTACCTGTTTGGCAGTGGCGTGGTGGCCCAGTTCAATGTGGCCAACGACATTGACATGATCTGTCGTGCCCACCAACTGGTGATGGAAGGTTACAAGTGGCACTTCAATGAGACTGTGCTCACTGTGTGGTTGGCACCCAACTATTGCTACCGCTGTGGGAACGTGGCAGCCATCTTGGAGCTGGATGAGCATCTCCAGAAAGATTTCATGATCTTCAAGGCTGCTCCCCAGGAGACCCGCGGCGTCCCTTCCAAGAAGCCCGTGGCCGATTACTTCCTGTGATCCCTCCAGCCCCTGCCCCTCCAGCCTCTCTGGCCCTCGGACCACTGTGACTCTGCTCTGTCTCCCTACGGAGGCTGGGCATCCGGGGGGGGGGGGGCTGTCTGGGCTCTGCTCTCCCCCCAGAGAGGGCACTGTGAGGGTGAGGACTTTCTCTGGAGAGGCTCGGAGTCTCAGCTCCATGCTCCTCTCTTTTCTCCCCACTTGAACCATGGAGTTTCCAATAATTTTTTGGTTTTCTTTTTTCCTTTTTTTTTTTTTTTTTTTTAAATAAAAAAATTTGAGAGAAAAAAAAAAAAATTCTAAAAAAAAAAGAAAAAAGGGAAAAAAAAAAAAAAAGAGAAAGTTTGGGGTCAAAATGGAAGTGGTTGAAGTCCTTTTTCATTAAGACCCATGCAAGCTTTCATAGTCAACAAGTGTATCGGTGGGATGAAAATTGGCTTCCAGCATCTACAATTACAGGACAGATGCATCAGTTTGTTCATCAACATTCGTGTGTCAAGGCTGTGTGATGTTGGTCCGACAAGGGTGGCATCAAAGCCAGAACCTTGGTCGACCAGGCAAAGCTGCAGCATGTTGTCCCCCAGGCAGCCAACCCGAAGGGCCAGGCTTTCAGGACTTTGGGTTTGGCTGGCTAGTGTTCTTATTAACTAAGACTCAGAAGTGACTGGAGACAGAGTACACATGCCACATGATCCTGGTTAAAGTCTGTTTCCTTTCTTTGGTTTTCCCTGTGGAACAAGGACAGATGACTGAAAAAATTATTGTCTTCAGCAGAAAGAAAGCAACTATCAATCATCACATATTTAATCACTTATTCTGAGGGCTTTCACAAAGAGTGTTGCATTCAATCATCATAAATTACCTGGTGAGGTGACTTTATTATCACAGTTCCACAGATGAGGAAAGGGAGGTGCAGAGAGTAGGAAGTTTGTGTGTGATTACACAGCTAGTAAGTGGACATGAAGAGTTTTGACTCTTGGTCTTTCATCTTTAAATCCAGTGCTTTGTGCAATGAACATTGTATCGGGCAACCTCTTGTATTTTGACTTTGCTTTTCTTTTCCAAAGGATGCTATTCAGGAAAACAGACACTGTCATGGATGAAAGTAAGCCTGACAACAGGACTCGTGCATGTTGGGAGCATCCATACTAGCCTCCTTCTCTCCTCTGCCCATATCTACAATCATTAGAGAAAACAGTAGACCCTTGTCTGCTACAGTCCTGGGTCTTGCCCTCTCATGGTGGAGTGGGAACCAGGCTTTGGTTATGCAAAGTGAAAGCGAAGATCCTCTTCTGAAGTGGAAATATTTCATAGAGGGTTTTCTTCCTTTACATTTGTACAACAAAAAGGACCATTTGGGTGATTTCACAAGAAAAGACCAGCTTGCCCTCTAAGGATTACTGTAGAGCTCATCACCTCCAGATCTAAAGTGCTACTTTGGATACCTCCCACCTCCATCAGCTCCTTCCTCTCAACATTTTGGTTCAGTGCCCATTATGGGAGTCAAGGGTCCCATGGTCCTTAGACCTCAATGGCAGCACTTGTGCTCATAACCTAGAAACTTGAACTGACCAACCTCTCCCCACTTGTAAGAGCCAGAACCAGAACCCAAAGCCAGATCTCCTGACATCAAGTGATTCCTTTTTCCTCAGAGCCTGGCAGTGGGTGTGAGTGTGTGTGAGTGTGGTGGGTGGGGTGTTGAGAGGCTAGACAGTAGTCCCCAGCTCTCTCCTAATAGTCTCCCAGATTTTGTGTAAAATACTTGGATCAGTCCAATTCATGGTCCCTTTTCCTGGCACCCTACAACTCAACCCATCCAGTGGTGCAGCAGCACAGTAGCCCCTAAAGCTCAGTGCTTTGGGGGGATGCCACAGAAATAATACCAAGAGTATAATATGAGACATCTATACCCATCATCATATCTAATCCATCACCAAGTTGGACTAATTTTAACCCCATAAATATCTGCCCAATGATTCCCCTTCTCTCCAGCTCTATTGTCACCATTCCAGCATAAGCCGTCATTGTTTGTTTTTAGTGGGGCTGCTGCAAGAGTCTCCTAGGGTCTCCCTCCTTTGTATACTCTGGTGCCTCCTTCAGTGTATTCTCCTCCCTGCATCCCAAGGTCAAGGGCTTCTCTCTTGACAGTCCTAAACAGCTTTTCCCTAACTGTTTTGTCTGTGTAATATCCATTTATTCTTCAGATCTCAGCACCAGCAAAGGTCACTTCCTTAGGGAGGGTGGGTGTCCTTGCCTTGCAAGTTCTTATGCTGCTTGCTCTTATGGAAATTTCCTCTTTATAACTTCATGGCATTTACCTCCACTGATGATTAAACAGTCATCTGCATGACTGTTGCATTAATGGCTGTCTCCTCTACTAGACTATAAAATCCATGAGAAAGGGGGATACATCTGTATCATTCTTTTTCTCTCCTTTCCCTCCTCTATTTCTTCCTACTTCCCTTCTCCCACCTCACTTGGTTTGTGTGTATGTGTGTGTGTGTGTTTGCCATAGGAATTCTGTCTTCTCACTGAGCAAAAGGTATGAACTATTCTACATTGAAAAGGAAAAGATGGAAGTTAATTCTCTTGAAGGGCAGGCTTCCAAAGATCTGAGATGTTCCACTAAAGTCTAAGTTAAAGTAATTCTGCCAGGGCCCCCTACCACCTTTTAAGCTTATAACACATTTCTCTCGTTTGTGCTTTTGTTTTTGCTTTTTTCATTCTTCCACAGTTTTATTTATTAAATTTTCAATAGAAACTTTCAAAAAGAAACAGGTGAAAATAGTATTACGAACTTTCATGTACTGTCACCAGCTTCAACAATTAACCACGTCTTGCCAAGCTTGCCTCCATCTTTCTCCTTCCACTTTTGTTGGTGGTGGGGGTGGTGGTGGCGAAGTAATTTAAAGCACATGCGGGCATCATATCATTTTATCCACAAATAGCTCAGTAATTAACACACAAGGATTTTTAAAAATATTACCCCTAACAATAATAATACTTTCATGTAATTTTAATAACGTCTCATTCCCCGTCCATGCTCAAAGCTTCTCCATCCTCCAAAAACGATTCTATAATTGGTTCATTTAGGTTAGGATCCCAAACAAGGTCCACACGTGGCATCGTAGCCTAAGTCTCTTTTAACCTGTAACTATTCCCTCTTCTCCCATCTTTTAAAATTCCACTTGTTTGTTGAAGACATTGGGTCGTTTATGAGGTACAATTTCCCACCTTCTAGATTTGGCTGATTGGCTCCTCGTCCAACTTGTTCTTTTATCTCCTAGGTCTTCTGTTTGTTCTTCTATTACTTTCAAACTAGCAGTGAGATCTCGAGACTTGATTAGATTCAGATGCACCCTCTTTGGCAAGAACAACTCCTAGGTGGTGCTGTGTACCTCTTGCATCACATCAGTAGACATATGATGTCCCATTTTTAGTGATGTTAAGATTGATCCGGAGATTAGACTAATGGGAGACAATTCTCCATGGGGCTCTTGCATCTCCCTAGGTTTTGCAAGACAAGATTTTCACTGCCTTTTGTCTACATTATCTTTTCAAGGATGTTTGCGTATGAAGAAAGAGATGGTGTTTGTTGCTGGAACAAAGGACAGACAAGCTTGTTGTACAGTGTCAAATATCAGAATTCCCTAAGCTTGGGGTTCCTTTCCTATAAAGCAACCCCCTACGTGTACAAGGTCATCTGACTCTTTTCCTGTTGCTCTATTAGAAATGAGGCTCAGGGAACCAGTGTAAAAATGATGATACTAAAAATAGCCACTGCTTTTGCTGTAATTGATGGTCCCGGATCTCTGTATGAGACTGGATTCTCCAGACACACACACACACACACACACACACACACACACACACACACACGGCAGAGGGGGCGGGGGCAGGGAGAGAGACAGAGACAGAGAGACTGATATGCTGTGAGGAGCTAGCTCACATAATCCTCCTGATTATGGAGGCCAAGAAGGCCAAGATTATAATCATGCAGTTGCGAGAGCGCAGAAATCGCTGGTTTAACTTCCGGTCCACGTCCGAAGGCCTGAGCAAGCAGGAGAGCCCCTAGTGGGATAGTGGTAAGTTTCAGTCCGAATCCAGGTCTGAAGGCAGGGGAAGTCTGCAATGTTTCAGCTCCAATACAGACGTAATTTTTTCTTTTTCAGCTTTTTGTTCTATTCAGGCCTTGGGTGGAGTGGAGGAGGCCCACCCACATGGGGGAGGGCAATCTGCTTTACTCAGTCTACATTCAAATGTTAATCTTATCCAGAAGCACCCTCACAGACACACCCCAAAATAATGTTTAACCAAATATTTGGATACCCCATGGCCCAGTCAAGCTAACATATGAAATTAACCATGGGACTCTTTAACCCAGAGTCTATACCTTTAATCAGTTTCCGTGAAATTTGGCAGGTTAATCTGTTAGCTTGTAAATAGAGTAAAATCTCAAACCCTTCACAGCTCTTGATACATACTTCAATAAAAAATAAAAAGATTGGTCAGTGGGTTCAAGTTGTGTCAGCCTGATCTCTTCATTATGAAACTTCCATCACCTTTTCATCTAAAGATTTAGTATGCATTGATTTCGTTGCTTAGATTCATTATTTTATTAGGGGTTGCAAAGTGGTGTCCATCTAATTGTATCATTCTGT